ACACACACACACACACACACACACACACACACACACACACACACACACATAACAAACCGTATCGGACTTAAGCATGATATACTGCGAGTTTGGGTAATTTTTAAAGGTCACGACTCTGATTTTAAGCTATTCAGTTCAGTCATTTCATTCAATTTTTATTACTGCTACGTTGTGCAGTCTACCCCGACGAGCCAAGTGTCGTTAAACTAAGAACTCTCTTCTGGTCCTTTTTCAAAAATGAAAATGCTACAAAACAAAAGACGTTGCTTTCCGATTAGCAGGTACATGTTGTGAAGATAGGCTACTGTTGAATTTATGCAGTTGTACTGAAACATCACTCGAGCATGGGGAGTTATGGTTCTATAATTATGCATCCATGCATTAACGTCAAACTGCCCTCGCTCTTTGTGTGAAGAAGACAATACTATTTTATTATGTCTCTCGAGAAATGGAATTCACTTCGGTTTCCAAAACCAAAGGTCCTAGACTTCAAGATAGTTTTCTCTTTTCTTTGAACCTATTAAAAAAGCGTCCTCCAAATCACTGTGGCGCCCCCTGAGAATAAGCGCGTACTTTGTGATCGTGGACCAATGAACAGCATTCAATCTGCGTGCGCAACAAGGAGGTTACAGTAAGCTCCTTGGTGCGCAAGCGTTAAGCGGGTACTATTCCTATTCTACTTCTCAAAAAATGAAAGAGAGTTCCAACCTGTGCCACCTGAGAATAAGCGCGTACGGCCGCAGACGCTTTTTTGGCAAAGTGAACCATCTTATAGTGTAATCACTAAGGTACCGCCGCCACCGGTTTAAAGAGTTATTGATGGGCATTTCCTGACTTCTGCTTTTTTTTGGGAATAAATTGAAGTTTTATTAGAGTCACAATGTAATAGTCGTACCTTGTCTCTCGTAAAACTCGTATCACCTTAATGTCCGCACATCACATTTTAAGCAGCATATTGCCCATACCCTCTTGTTTACGTACAACACAACACAACACGACACGATACGATACAATACAATACAATACAATACAATACAATACAATACAATACAATACAATACAATAATGATACTGAAGAAGAAGAAGGATATTGTATGATGATGATGATGATGATGATGATGATGATGATGATGATGATGATGATGATGATAATAATAATAATAGTAATAATAATAATAATACTAATAACAACGG